GTTGCTTATGTTTATTCTTCGCCTTCTTCTTAGAAGCAAAGTCAACACTTCTTTTGTTGGTGGAGGGAGTTTCAGGGCATATCCTCGAAGACATTCTCATTACGTGTATCAAAACAACTATTTGAGGATGGGATATTGTCTCAACGAATATAGGAGGCAGTGGGTTCGAAAGGTCCTCACCTCTTCTATTGAGGCTCCAACTCTGATTGTGGAGGCAGTTGAGTCAATCCCGGAGGGGGTTGTCCCTTCCGTAGATTGTGTCTCGGAGCCATTACAGAGTGACCCCGGGGTGGAGCCCGAAATCAATCCTGAGGATGACCAATCCGGGGATTATTCTAATATTCTGGACTACCTCTTGGATATTCCAGAGGATTTGCTTGAGGTCGTCCTCCTCAGTGAGAAACTCTGTGATTTTGAGATGGTCACTTGTCGGGTCATGACTATGCCACACGAGCGCAGAGCTCGAATATTGAGGGCCAAGCCACTAATCCCGTCGAGGATGATCATCATGAGATTATTGAAGCCCATGGTGGCCCCGTGGTCGATCAAGGGGATCAGAGAAAGAGTAATATCATTGCTCATTTACAGGCTCAAATCGTCCTCCTTGCTGTCCAGATAGCAACATTGCAAAGGCGAGAGGGCATAGCCCGACATTGTTTCTCCCCTACTTAGGGTGAAACACAGCCTACCGCTCCTACTGTGCCTCTAACACCTTCCCGGAATATCCATGCCGCTTCCTGTGGTGTTGCACAACATAAGCACATCCTTTCTGACTCACACCTACAGTCTCTCGTCGACGCCAAAGTCAACACTGCTTTGGCGGCCCAGCAAAGTGAGACCTTTGTGCGACGAGGTAGAACATATCCCGTGGCGTAGGAATATATTTGTACCCCTTCATTTCAAAAGATTTGAGGACTTTGGCAATCCTCGCCAACACATGACCCAATTAGAGCAATTTGTTGCAATATTGACAACAATGATGCACTTTTGTTTCGTCTCTTTATTACCAGCTTAGTGAAGCTCGATTTTGAATGGTATATCGATCTACCCAACGGCTCATTCAAGACCTTCACTGAGTTGGAGGATGCGTTTGTGAAACGCTTTGTGGGAGCACACCACCAAGTCACTATGAATGACTGACTATTAGCTCGATAGAGTCCTATTAAGCCCTTGTTGAAGTTCATTATTCGGTGGAGCAATTTGAGTTTGCAGTGTGAGCCACAATTGTAGGAGCAACAAGAAATCGCATTCCTCATGGGCAAGATAAAACGCCCTATTTCAGTCTTATTGAATATGAGTTCAATTAAAACTTTTGAGACTTTGATTGAGAAGGTGTCTAGCTGCAAAATAAAGCAGACGCATTAGCCTTTAAAGATACTGAAAATGCCAAGGGCCAAAAGCGCTATGTGGCTCCTTCGAGGAAGAATGAAGAAAGTTTAGCTCTTTCGACATCTAATTGGAAGCTAAAAAAGCCTGTCATGTTTGTCGAGCAAGCTCGCCCGCTTTCTTAGAAATGGAAATCCCAATCTCTTGAGCAGAGGAAGTCTAAGGTGTATTCCTTTAGGAATGATTGTCTTTGGAAGATGCTCAAGAACCTGATTAAGCAAGGGATGCAACTCCCACCGCCGAGGAGACCCCACGAGTTGGAGAAGACCACGGGCCAAATTTCTGCCCTTATCATATACATTACGGGCATGTCCTTGAGGAGAGTTATCCTTTCAAGAAGTGGTTTGAGGCTCGCTACAAAGCTGAGAGATCGAGATATCATATCAGTACCTAGAGTAACCCCATGGGAAGGGATTTGCAAAGATGGTAGCAGTTGTTTCAATTTTCAGCTTTTATGATGATTTTTCTTCTTTTGTTTGTAATTCAAGAGTGGAATGTAATGCTCCTTTTGACACACTTTATGATTATGAAGCAATGAAAGAAGAATATGTTGATTACTTCTTTGTGTTTCATCCCTTTATGGTGGATGCTCATGACATAGATGATGATGAAGATGGAGATGGGCAATACCTGTTATTGCCCTCCTTGAGTAACATGTACCACATTTGTGACGATCATAGTGATTTATGTAGTGACACATGTGAGTCCTATGGCCATTAAGGCATCATTGATGAGCTTTCTGTTTCACTAAAGTTGATCCCTCTGGGTCCCTTAGTAAGAATAACCAGGAAGTCCGCTTTAGAAGCAGCAAATTGCTTCCTTCTAGAGTTGTTGTAGCCAAGTATAAGGAGAAAGGGAAAGATATTATCACCTGAGAGGTGAATAATCATTCCGAAGTCCCAAGTGAATGAGCTAAATAGCCTTCCAAATTTGAAGACTATAATATGATGGCACACCTCAAAAGGTTGTCAGCTGCTTTGAGCACTTATGATGCACTTTTTCTCTCTTCCGAGCTAAGAGAAACCTTGATCAGAGCTCTTCACGGGCCCAAGGCCTTCAACGCATATCATACGGAAGAGAGGATGACGGAGGCGGTTATGCTGTCGGATGTAGTTATCGATACCTTCACTGAGGAAGACTTGTTTTTGGGTACTACAGGCCACAACCGTCATCTACATGTGTCGACTGGAATATACGACTCTCCGTTAAACCGTATCTTGGTTGATTCCGGCTCTTCGGTGAATATCATCAGTGTCCGTATGATTGAACTGTTGCCTTGAGCATGAGGAGATTATGCTCTGATAGGATTATACTCAATGGTTTCAATGAGAAGGATCAAAAGACCCTTGGCTCTAGCACTTTGCATCTCCAATTTGGAGCTACAAGAGCAAAGCCAAATTCCATGTGATCGATGGGAATACGTATTTGCACCCATGGATCCATGAGTATAGGATGATACCTTCCACCATCCACCAGTGCATCAAATACATGCATGGAGGGGAAGAGTTTTCCATCGCCGGGGACATTCAACCCTTTTCCATTATGTGAGAGTTTTTGATGATGCAGAGTACTATGAATATGAGCCCTCCCCTTGCTACCTTCTGGTTAAAGGCAAGGAGGTAAGGAAGTAGAAGGAAGGGCTTTGTATCCCCATAGCTTCGAAGTGTGAGCCTAGGATCCCCATCTTGTCTTCAGATAAGATGGTAGATCGAAGCCGTATCAGATTCCGAGTCTGAGCTAGATGAGGAGTTGCTTGTGAGCAGTTCGAGGAGCTTGCATGGATGCAGCCAGAAAGACATTGATGAGGATATACATCTGCTACCCTCAATGGGCATGGTCCCTCGTTTATTCAGGCTCTTTTTGTCAGATGAGGTGTTGAAAATTGACCCTATACCACGAGGTCAATGTAGGGTATGAGATCATCAAATAGACAGTCAACTTATCCACAATAGCTTATTATTAAACTATAGCTGCCCCAAACATACCCTAAGTCAAATCAAACATAAAATTTAAGGATATAAAAATAATGAATAAAATAGGGTAAGACAGATCAAGAGAATTGCTAAGTTCAAAAAAATCAAATAGCTTAACCACTCTATAGTTCAACAAGACAAAACCCATCCAAGACAACCAAAGAACACCTCATAGCAATAGAATAATGGATCCTAACATCATTTAGCCACTATAAAAGCTCAATCCGACCAAAAACGAGAACAACAAAACTAAGACAAAGTAGAAGTTAGAAGTAATAACTTGAGACACCTTCAAGGCACTGTAAAATATCTTCAAGTACTGAAACTAGTATTGCTAGTAATCCATTAACATCCTTGACATTGGTTACGTGAGATCCTGAGATGGAGAAAAAAAATCAAAAGAAGTGCTGATATATTTGAAATCCAATAAAAAATCCATAAACCCCAATATCCACTAAAAAGGAAGATTCAACCTCCCATTCTCCTGACATGAGCAATAGCCTAAATAATTAAGATTGGAAAGAACCAAGAAGGGGTCCTACTCTGAAAAGGAGACCATCCTATAAAACTTCCATATATATCAAATATTAAAAGGCAATAGGATTTTAGAAATAGAGTTCAAACATAATAAGAACAAAAGAGATACTTATCACACAACTTGTCTCTCTCTCATAAGTCTAGTGCATCCTTAACTCACCTCTCATCGAATTAGTCGCAACCATTGATCTATCCTTCCTATATTCTTAAATATCAAATTTAAGGATGCCAGCATATTTTGGTGCTCTTGTTGACAGCATTGTTGGAATGAGAAAAATATTATCTACAGAGGATGAGACAAGAGAGCCTTCTATACCTCAAGGAGAAAAGCAAAACACACTCAAAGAAAGAATTAGTATAAGATTTTAAGGGTTTCACTTGGATCATAAATCCAAAACAGAGAATCACAGTTTTTATTCTAGATTTGAGGACCTACAAGGATGCGAGCCTAGGCTAATTTGATAACATCAGTTCTTCAGCTCTCCTTGTATATAATTAAAGCCTAAGACAGACAGAACACCAATTACCAAAGTTACTAAAATGACTACAGAACAATGCAATCTAAATTCTTGGTCTTTTTTTTTTTTTAATTTATGGCATTTTAGTTGGACAACCTATGCATATCTTTCACTAAGAAGAAAAAGTATAATGGGCTCATATGTAATTCTTCATACTATATATATATATATATATAAGGAATGGTCAGAGGCTATTATACGAGCCTCCAACCACTCCTAATGTGTCTATCAATTTGAGTACCACCTCCTTAAGGTCAATTGTGTTAGGGGGATTTGAACCCCCAACCTAAGGAGTTTTACACCGAGGAGGCCAACCAACAAGCTGAGGTACGCAGCACACACACACACAGATATATATATATATATATATATATAGACACACACACACACACACGAGGAATACTTATTTCAACTATGCATGGTGAATGCATCTTATTTATATGACCTTCCATATTTTATTGGAAGCGTATAGATTTGAAATTTTTACATAGTAAAACACTAAGAAAAGGTCTAGGAAACTAAAAATAAATGTTACTTGATTAGACAAGTAATATATCATAATTTAAACAGCTATTTTTTTATCTACCTTTGATGCATTTCCAACAAGCTCACTTTGCAGCATGACAAGCTTGTTTTCTGCATCGTATGAACCCCTCTGCAAATTGACAAAAAATCATATCAAATTGAATGCCAGCCATGTGGTAGAGTGGGTGGCAATAATACATGAAGCTCCTCCGTTAGAAACTGGCTATTCTTAAGAAAAAAAAGAACATTCTTAAAATCATGAATTTGATAACTTTAAAAAACATGAAAAATAGCAATCCAAAGCTAAAAAAAGTAAGTTATTCCTCTCCCTCTCACCCTTATCCCTCGAAGCTTCAAACTTTCTTAACTACTGCATAGCGGGAAATGGAATTAATCTGTATAAAATCGAGAATTCAATTTTGTTTGTTAATTGCGTAACACGGTAGATAAATAACAAATACTGAGTAGGCTTGTGAATGATCAAATTTTGAGTCGAACTGGGTTAGGCTTGAAATCAGTTTGAACATATTTGAATGCAGCTCAAAATCAGCAAATGGCTCATGGCTCATTGTATTCGATTTCGAGCCAAGCTCGGCTCAAAATTGAATACAACTCGTTCTAGCTCGAAATTGAAAGGAGCAGAGAAAGCTTAAATTGAGCTCTTTGGATCTGTTCAAGCTTGAAAATCAAAACGAGCTAGTTAATTTCAATTAAGCTAACTTAAAATGAATAAATAAAATAAAATAAAAATATAATCGCCTATATATTCTAAAATTTCATTTAGCAATCTATCATATATATATATATATATGTATGTATATATATATATATATAATGTAATTTTTATAATTAAAACAAAAGCTTTTGAGCCAATCTCAAGACATTTTAATACGATCTGTGTATGGCTCAAAATTGACTCAAAAAAATTTCAATCCATAATTTTGGCTCATAGCTCGGCTCACTTCGATTACATCGCGATTTAAGCCAAATTTTGAATTGATTTTCGAGCAATGAACAATCTCCGAGCTAAATTCTTAGCCCTAATCTTGAGCCAATACCATAGTCTGTGCAATCAACTAAAAATAAAAAGTTATCATGCTCATCAACAAAAGAACACCCGACACTTAAGACGGTAAATGAGGAACAAAGTGAATAAGAATTGAGACCAATTTGTGTAATTCCCCTTTAGTAATAAAAAAGTGACAAGTTGATAACAAGTGCCTCTTACCTCCCTAGGAGTATTAATAAGCATTTAAAAGAATGGCTTTTTGATATTTTAGTGAAACGTATGGTGGATGGTGAGATATATGCCTCAAGAAATTGATTCAGGCAATATTAGTTAGTGTGAAATAGGCAGGCACTATATATTACATATAATGTTACATAAACTAAATTTGAATGAGCTAGCTACACTATTAACAAAGTCAACTAGAACATAAACAAGACTAACCATTGGAAAATCAACTACAAATTTATTTCAATTTAGGGCCCGTTTGGGGCAACTTATATGTGCCCCGCCTCACCATTTAGAAAACACGTTTTGGCAGGTTATCCGAAAATGCAGTTGGGTTTTTACACTAAACGCAGGCTGCAAGTCGAACCCCACGGGTCGTGTTTCAGGATAAGCTGCTTATCTGGATAAACACAAGCTGTCTCAAACACACTCTTAGTCTAACAATTATTACAAGATCACATAAGTTTAAACAGAGGAGTTGTGAATTGGGAGGCTCATCTACAAGAGACCAACCCTAGAAAGACCCGACCTAACAATTAGGCTTAACTTGAACTTTTTAAAAATCAAATTCAAGCATGAATGTTAGGTTGGGTCTTTCCAGCACACAATAGAATCTCAAAAAAAAGCTTGAATTGAAGCTTTAAACCAATGTTGCAAAGGAGAGCTCGGTCACATGCATAGAGGAGAGAGAATCTAGCCTACCTTCAAATCCAAGGGAGTAATTAAAGGGTTTGAAGTTTCCGTTTCCAAATTTCACTCTCCTTAAAGCGAGGCCAACCATTATTACATCAAGGGAATTTTGATTTTCAAAATATGGATTATTATGAGTTTAATGGGAATAAGTTTAAACAGAGAAGTTGTGAATTAGGAGGCTTATCTAAAAGAGACCAGCCCTAAAAAGACCCGACCTAATATTTAGGCTTAACTTGGACTTTTGAAAAATCAAATTCAAGCCTGAATGTTAAGTCGGGTCTTTCCAGCACACAATAGAATCTCAAAAAAAGCTTGAATTGATGTTTTAAACCAATGTTGCAAAAGAGAGCTTGATCTCATGCATAGAGGAGAGAGAATCTAGCCTATTCAAATCCAAGGGAGTAATTAAAGGGCTTGAAGTTTCTGTTTCCAGATTTCACTCTCCTTAAAGCGAGGCCAAGCACTATTACACCAAGGGAATTTTGATTTTCAAAATATGGATTATTATGAATTTAATGGGAATAAGTTTAAACAAGATCACATAAGTTTAAACAGAGAAGTTGTGAATTAGGAGGCTCATCTATAAGAGACAAGCCTTAGAAAGACCCGACCTAACATTTAGGATTAACTTGGACTCTCAAAAAATCAAATTCAAGCCTGAATGTTAGGTTGGGTCTTTCCAGCACATAATAAAATCTCAAAAAAATCTTGAATTGAAGTTTTAAACCAACCTTGCCAAGGAGAGCAAGGTCACATGCAAGAGGAGAGAGAATCTATCCTACCTTCAAATCAAAGGCGCTAATTAAAGGGTTTGAAGTGTACTTTTCCAAATTTCACCCTTCTTAAAGCGAGGCCAGACACTATTACACCAAGGGAATTTTGATTTTCAAAATATGGATTATTATGAATTTAATGGGAATAACAATAAACATGTGATAGACTGTAAAAAAAATGTAATAAAATAACAAAATAAGATAAATGACTTGTTAGATAATATATACTATTATTATCTTTATCTTTTTCTGATAAAGAAGAGAGAGCTTTGAAATGAAAGATGGGAATGGGTAGTTTTTTATGGTGTAAGGAAATAGAAAAGAAGCCCTTGAAGTTGGTTGACGATACAAGAGAGACTTCGACAAAGCCGCTTTTAGATATTTGTCGAGAGGTTCAATTGGGGTTAGGCTAGTTTGTGTCGATATTTGATAGAATGGATTCAATTGGGGTTAGGCTAGTTTGTGTCGATATTTGATAGAATGGAGCTTATGGGTTAATGTGTGGGGAATATAATGGGATGAAGAATCAGTTATGTTGAGTTTAAGACGTGGTGAAGTCATGAAAATAAGAAAATGAGGTTGTCAAGGGGTGTTGACGTCTGTAGAAGACCTAGAAAATAAGAGTATAATTTGCACTGTTTTGAGAGGGCTGACAAGGAAAGAGGCTTCATTTACACCGATTAAAAGAGTTGGGTCCGTGTCAAAAAGGCAGGTAGATGTGAAGGAAAAATATCTTAGCAGATAAATCCAACTCACATAATGAAAGGAAGTAGAAAGACATCAAGCTAAATTTAGAAGATAACTCTTCAATTTTCTTTTCAAATCACATATCTATAATTTCATTACGTCTCCTTCGACTTTGAAAGGCAATAAATACATTTCACAATAAAATATAAATCACATAAAAGAAGGCAAAATATATAACCATTAAATGTGATAGGATTTTGAAGAGTAGTGAAGATACTATATTTTCTTTTTCCTCTAAACCAAGTTACAACATTTCCCCTTAGGAAATATTTGGGACAAACATAATTAAGGTTAATATAGCTTACCAAATACAAAACAAACAATAAAGAAAAGACGTGCAATATAATACGAAACACAATAAAAAGAATAAAATCGAAATAAGAAACTTCCTCCGATAGCTTTCACAAATTAATCATATGAGGTCCATATCCTAATAGGAATAGAATTTCTCACACTCTCTCAAGCTAGGTCATAAATGTTGTAAAGACCCAGCTTAGTATTCAAATCATTGAAGTTGTCTGGAGGTAGAATTTCCTGAAAACATTTGCGACTTGAAGATGAGTTAAAATGTAGATTAAGAGGGTGTTTGGTTGCCTATAAGATTTGTTTTAAATAGGATTTAGTAAATTTGATACATTCAAATTTATCAAATCCAGAAATAGTGTTTGGTTCAACTTAAGGTTAAATCTATTAAATTTGTTTGTCATGTTAGGCATAAATCAACTCCTATAATTTTCTTCTTATGCTAAATCCGTTAAATCCACATAATAATCAATTTAATAAATATGAATTTAAGTTTAATGAAGTAATGAAAGAAAAAAATAATTGGATTTAGCGAAGTTCGGATTGAAAGTTGACAATTTTTTTGGTTTGGATGGATTTATGTTAAATAGTGTGTAAATCTTGCTCAAATTCAGCTACCAAACACGCCACAAGTGAATAATGTCACCATTGATCCTTTTACGGATAAAATGTCTATCAATCTGAATGTGTTTGGTCATGTCATGATGCACGAGATTCTTTACAATACTAAAAAAGACTTGACCGTCACAAAACAACTTTTAAGGGATTGACTGTGGAGCATCTCAACTCATTTAGTAATTTGGATCCACATTGTCATAAATCCCAAAGCAAGTGCCCGGTGCTTGGAATTGCTCTCAATGGTGATCAATACAATATGATATTCAAAAGATTTAGGCAACTAATTTGAGCCAGTTTAGAGGAATATGAGCAGACAAGTAGCGATTAGCACCTGGACCTCGACTAGGCCGGTACTTTGGGCGATGACCACTTCGATGGAGCCATCCGGCTTCGGCCGCCAGTAGCCGCTCTCGGCATGCACGGGCTCTGAGCTTCCATGTTTTCTGGCTATACGCTATCACTGGCTGTGCTCCAGCAACAAAAGGAAAAAAAAAGCGTAGTATTAGATGGGGAAGAATTGTGGGGAGAGCCGGAAGAGAGAGACCTTGCCGGAGTGGTTGAAGAGCAATTCTTCTGCGTAGACGAAAGAGTTGATGGTGGGAAACCCGCCTTCCCCCTGGCCTCGCCATTTCCCAAGCAGAAACGAGAGAGGAGCTATAGCGGGGTGTAGCGGCGGAGGCTCCGATGTAGGATCAACTCCTTCCATTGCCCTGGCTCTTACTCTCTCTCGAATTTGAGTACCAAGAATCATAGCAACCTATGAACAATTTAATAAAGATGCCTCTAAAAACCATTTTAACCTAATATTTAAGATCTTCAGCTTTAAACTAAGGGGGTGTTTGATGGGCAATTTAAATATCATCATGAATAGGTTAGATAAATTCATGGTTAAGTTAAATCAAAGTTTTGCTTTTTTTCATTTATTAAATTTTGATTTAGTAAATCCACTTATTAGCTGGATTTAACGGATCTAGTTTGGGGAAAAAATATTTCAAATAGATTTATGTTAAGCACATCAAATGGGTTTAATTGGATTTAATCTTAATTGAACGAAACATTAATTTAGATTTTATAATATTAATAAAAAAATATTTCAAATAGATTTATGTTAAACACATCAAATGGGTTTAATTGGATTTAATCTTAAGTGAACGAAACATTAATTTAGATTTTATAATATTAATATTTAATAAATCCATATTTACTGAATCTTATTTAAATTAAATTTGGCTTGCAGCCAAACAACCACTTAAGAGTCCATGTGGTCTACCTAACGACTATATGGTCAACATGTTGACCATATGGTCAACTTAGCATCATATGGTCAACCCTATGTCTAAATGAATCCATGTGGTCAATCCTATGGTCATGTGATTAACTCAACCACCATGGGATTAATTTTATACTTTTTTTTTATTTAATTAATCAATTATTTATTTATTTGGAATGAATGTCATGAAGGAATTAGCCTAAGCCCAACTCTAAGGACATCCAAGTTCACATGGCCCAAAGCCAATTCTAATGGGTTACCCATTATCCAAAGACTACCCATCATGACACGGTCAACCCATTAACCCCATGTAAACCCAAAATTAGCCTTTGAAAAGTCAAATGGTGGGCTCAATATGAAAGAGGGCATGTGTCACCTTACATGGCTCCTATCTCAAACCTCTTTGGACCAAGCTAGGGTGGTCAGGCCAACCCAACTCTGAACACATTATCCACATTTTCCTTCCTCTGATGAGCTCAAAGCTCCTTCAAACCATCTCCTTCCCCATGCTTGTAGCCATGATGAACATACCTTGAGAAAAGGAAAATTTGACAATCCATGGCTAAGATCAATCCCTGAGATCATCTGAAGCTCTCTGAGCAGCCAGCCATCTCCTGCAATCAACCCAAGGCTTCTTCCTAGTCTTTAATGGCTACAAAAGGGGCAAACCTAAGAGCTTGAGCACATGACCAAACTCCCTGTAAAGCCTCCAAACTCTCTTGCTCCCAAAATTGTTATCCATCCGTTAGGCAGTTGATCCTCAAATCCTTTTAGAAAACCTAATTTCTTAAACCAAAACAAGGAACTTTTTGGGGTTTTACATCAACTTCCTCAAATCTCAAACCTAAGCATCCCAAAAGCTTCCCCAAACCTCACAACAATAATCCCAATCAAAATTAAGTCATCCCGCAGCCTCTAACATATTCCAAGTCCAAACCGAGCCACCATTTGGTCTTGATCATAAGTGGAGCCTATTTCAATCCAAATTGAGTTGGGGGGAAAGCTTCATGAGGTGATAGCAATCGTGTCTGACAAGCCCAATTAAGATCACACCTCCATGGACTAAGTATGGATCAAGAACCCTAAAAATTGCTTCGGGTTTGGTCTTTTATGAAACAAATGAAAATGTTAGGCTTAATAAACAGTATGTATAGCTTCGTATTGAGTAGATAAAACTATAGGAACAAACCCCAAGTGTTTACATTGAGAGTCAAGGGAGATCTCAGGGTTTGAATGTGAACAACTATCGTGCCTTCATCCCTTGGGGATGATGAGCTGATGTCGTACATTTCTGTGTATTGGAAATGGAAGGCTACGATTGGCTCACACCAACAAACCGTAAAGGAAGATTGGACCAAGCCGCAGGCCACCTTGGCTCCCTCGTGGAAAGCGTTGCGTACCAGGAGACATCACGTGGGATTTGGACGCTACCAAGCATAACGGGGTCGCCACGCGTTTAAGTGGATAAATTAGATTTTCCAATTTATTTTAAAATAGAAAAATGCTTAATAATTCAAAGTTACATAACTTTGTGTAAAAAAATCATAAAAATAAAAGAAAAATATCCTGAACTTAGTAAACCAAGGAGAAGATAATAAAAATAAAATGAAAATAAATTAATTTTAATTAATTAAATACTTTGAGTATTTTAATTATTAAAAATTAAATATAAATCCAAAATTTATGAATTTTGTAGGGATTATTCCTCCCGTCTATGTGAATGTTCTCTGATTTTTTTCGAAGTTAGGGGATGTCCCTAAAATGAACATAACCAAATACCACTACTTTTGTAATTAATTTAAGAAAATAATTATGAAAAATAAAAAAAAAATGGAAATTGAAATTGGCAAATGGTTAGAAAATTTAGGATGGTAAATTTAAACGCTAAAATAATATTTTCACTCTTGAAAACCCTAAAAATGAAAATATTTTAAATCCATGGGTAAAAATGTAAAAATCAAAAAAATATTTCTTGCCTCAAATTGTTCCTTAAGCCAAATTAAAACATTAACCCAAAGATCTTAGGGATATAACATCATGGTTATCCCCTGACCATGGAAACACTCCTTTGATCTAGGGTTTACTTAAACTTGAGCCTAGGTATGGGTAAGGTTTAATCCCATTCGAGCTTAACCTAAATGAACTTCTAATTGGACTCGACCCAATTGAAGTTAAGTCTGAACCTCAAACTTGACTTACCTTACTTTGGTTAGGCTTAATCTAAACCCTAAAATGTTGGGTCTACCCATCATAGACCCAACTAAACTCTAAAGTGTTGGGTTTACCCATCTTCAACCCAACTAAAGCCTAAATATTGGGTCTAACCCATATTAGACCTAATCTAAACTCAAAGCCTAGGTCCAACTTAACTTAAACCTTACCCTAAATGTTGGGTCTAACTCATATTAGACCTAACCTAAATTAAAAGCCTAGGTTTAACCTAACTTGAGCCCAATCCCAAATGTTTGGCCTAAACAATGCGAAACCCAATCTACACCTTAAACCTAATTAGGTCTAACCTACATTAGACCTAATTAACCTATTAAGGCTTACTTAAATTAAACTTAATTATCTTTAAACCTAATTAAGTTTAACCTGCATTAGACCTAATTAACATATTATGTCCTACTTAAATTAGACTTAATTAATCCTTAAACCTAATTAGGTATAACCTACATTAGACCTAATTAACCCATTATGTCTTACTTAAATTAGACTGAATTAATCCTTAACCCCAATGCGGTCTAACCTACATTAGACCTAATTAACCCATTAAATATTACTAAAATTAGACTTAATTAATCTTTAAACCCTAATGAGGTCTAACCTACATTATGCTTAATTAACCTATTAAGTCTTACTTAAATTAGACTTAATTGATCTTTAAGCCCTAATTAGGTCTAACCGACATTTGACATAATTAATCCACTAAGTTTTACTTTAAATCAGACTTAATTGATCCTTAAACCCTAATTAGGTATAGCCTACATTAGACCTAATTAACTTATTAATTCTTACTTAAATTAGACTTAATTAATCTTAAACCCAAATTAGGCCTAACCTACATTCGACGTAATTAACTTATTATGTCTTACTTAAATTAGACTTAATTCACCTTAGACCCTAATTAGGTCTAACCTGCATTAGATCTAATTAACCCATCAAATCTTACTTAAATTAGACTTAATTAATATTTAAACCCAAATTAAGTAAAGCTACCCTCCCTTGCAATAAATTAAGTGGAGTGAAGGAAAAGAAAAGTTGCAAATTGTAACTAAGGCTAGTGACAAATGGGAGAAACTCTCTTATTTACCCTCTCTCGAGTGCATAAAGAAGTTTGGTTAAACTGATTTTAATTCTTTAAACCCCAATCTGAACACATCAAATATTATTTCCCTAACAATTGCATCTCCCTATAGTGTACTTGGTTCCTACCCTATACTTCAACATGAATAACCTAGTTGTTCTTCCATAGCTCTCCCGAGTCATTATGGGTCACAACATATTTTAACTAATCACTTGGCCAGAATGAAAAATAAATTACTCATCACATTAAAGATTTTACAAACAATTTTAAAAGCATTCCTCTGTCTGGCAATTTCATATCGTGTTGAATAACTCTCATCTTCGTGTGGAACAACTGCTAAAAATTGCTCAGGAAGTTTCTGGCACCCAGGCTCTCTATCTGGCAATTTCATATGGGCTCCTAAACGCCAAAAACACTAGTGCTAAGGCGATTGGGTAGTGGCACATTGGCGCCCACTAAGCGTCAGCCTCTCGGGTTCCCAGTATGGGACTGGTGGCTAGGCGCCCAAGAATCCTAGCGTCTAGGCACTCGTCTACTGTGTCCTCCATAGCTCCAAATCACCTCAATTTTGCTCCATTTCTTCTCCACTTTGCTCCACTCCTAACACCTATTGTACCTGCAAGAAAAATATAAAAATACATTTCTTTAAATTGTAATTTCATCCATAAGCATATGCAAAACATAGAGGAAATTCAACTTTCTTTACTAGAAATCATTCACCACTATCAACTAGCAATAAATTGTATAAAAAAGAAAAATACCTTTGTATCAATTGTATGATTCTGATGGACCTTCTTACTTCTGTAGCAGGTGTCAGAGGAACTTCTTGTGCTTCATTAGATTGAGCACATTTCCTCTCTCTATCCTTCTAATCCTCAAATATCTTATATCTTAATATATTTTAAAGGTTGTCTATAAGTAACTGATGAAATTCAAGAGTTTTTTTTTAATGTACGTCTCCAATTCATTAAACGTAACACCATAGCTCCTTATAAATTTTTGATCATGATAGTCCCAAAATTTATAGCCAAATTCATCTAGTTCATACTCATTGTAAGTGTACTTAATAAATTTTAAATCAAACTTACTTCTAAAGCCAGCACCAACATGAACATAGGATGAATAACCAAATTATTTCAGGTGAGATAGATTTACATGCTCTCCTCTCTAGGTTTCTTCAAATATGCCCTCATTAAAAAGTAAAGCC